TTATTTTTTTATTTGGCATTAAGAAATACAAACAACCCTAAATTTTCACCGTTCTGCTATCATCCCCTATTTTTAATAGGGGTTGTTTTTATTTTTTTTGTTGCCATCTCCGAAACGGCTTAGCCGATTTTGATGAAATTTTATATGTATATTGAGTAGGTCTGAAAATAGGTTGTTATATATTTTTTATACCCTTAAGTGATAAGGGTAGCCCACCTCCATTTTTTTATTTAAAAAAAAAATTATTATTATTTTTTTATTTGGCATTAAAAATACAAACAACCCTAAGTTTTCACCGTTCTACCATCATCCCCTATTTTTAATAGGGGATGTTTTTTTTTTAATTTTTTGTTACCATCTCCGAAACGGCTTGATCGATTTTGATGAAATTTTATATGTATATTCAGTAGGTCTGAGAATACGTTGTTATCTGTTTTTATACCCTTAAGTGATAAGGGTAGCCCACCCCCATTTTTTTGATTTTTTGAAATAAAAATATTTTAACTTTTTTTATTTGTCATTAAAAAATACAAACAACCCTAAATTTTCACCGTTCTACCATCATCCCCTATTTTTTAATAGGGGTTGTTTTTTAAGTTTTTTGTTACCATCTCCGAAACGGCTTAACCGATTTTGATAAAATTTTATATGTATATTCAGTACGTCTAAGAATAGGTTGTTATCTATTTTTATACCCTTAAGTGATAAGGGTAGCCGAGAGGGTAGCCCACCCTCATTTTTTATTTTGTGAAAAAAAAATATTTTTTTTATTTGGCATTAAAAAATACAAACAACACTAAATTTTCACCGTTCTACCTTCATCCCCTATTTTCTAATAGGGGTTGTTTTGATACCATCTCCGAAACGGCTTGGCCGATTTTGATGACATTTTATTATGTATATTGAGTAGGTCTGAAAATAGTTTGTTGTCTATTTTTTATACCCTTAAGTGGTAAGGGTAGCCCACCCCCATTTTTTTATTTTTTGAAAAAGAAATATTTTAGTTTTTTTTATTTGGCATTAAAAAATACAAACAACCCTAAATTTTCACCGTTCTACCATCATCCCCTATTTTTTAACAGGGGTTGTTTTTTAAGATTTTTTGTTACCATCTCCGAAACGGCTTAACCGATTTTGATAAAATTTTATATGTATATTCAGTACGTCTAAGAATAGGTTGTTATCTATTCTTATACCCTTAAGTGATAAGGGTAGCCGAGAGGGTAGCCCACCCTCATTTTTTTTATTTTTGAAAAAAAAATATTTTTTTATTTGGCCTTAAAAAATACAAACAACTCTAAATTTTCACCGTTCTACCATCATCCCCTATTTTCTAATAGGGGTTGTTTTTTTGATACCATCTCCGAAACGGCTTGGCCGATTTTGATGACATTTTATTATGTATATTGTGTAGGTTTGAAAATAGTTTGTTATCTATTTTTTATACCCTTAAGTGGTAAGGGTAGCCCACCCCAATTTTTTTATATTTGAAAAAAAAATTATTTTAATTTTTTTTATTTGACATTAAAAAATACAAACAACCCTAAATTTTCACCGTTCTACCATCATCTCCTATTTTTTAATAGGGGTTGTTTTTTTTTAAGTTTTTTGTTACCATCTCCGATTGACCGATTTTGATAAAATTTTATATGTATGTATATTCAGTACGTCTAAGAATAGGTTGTTATCTATTCTTATACCCTTAAGTGATAAGGGTAGCTGAGAGGGTAGCCTACCCTCATTTTTTTTTATTTTTGAAAAAAAAATATTTTTTTATTTGGCCTTAAAAAAATACAAACAACTCTAAATTTTCACCGTTCTACCATCATCCCCTATTTTTTAATAGGGGTTGTTTTTTTTTAAGTTTCTTGTTACCATTTCCGAAACGATTTTGCCGATTTTGATGAAATTTTATTATGTATATTGAGTAGGTCTGAAAATAGTTTGTTATCTATTTTTTATACCCTTAAGTGATAAGGGTAGCCCATTCCCATTTTTTATATTTTGAAAAAAAATATATTTTTATTTTTTTATTTTGCATTAAAAAATACAAAGAACCCAAAATTTTCACCGTTCTACCATCATCCCCCTATTTTTAATAGGGGTTGTTTTTAATTTTTTGTTACCATCCGTGAAACGGCTTTGACCGATTTTGATAAAATTTTATATGTATATTCAGTACGTCTAAGAATAGGTTGTTATCTATTTTTTATACCCTTATGTGGTAAGGGTAGCCCACCCTCATTTTTTTTTTTTTTGAAAAGAAAAATGTTTTTATTTTTTAGTTGGCATTAATAAATACAAATAACCCTAAATTTTCACTGTTCCACCATCATCCCCTATATTTTAATAGGGGTTGTTTTTTTTTAATTTTTTGTTACCATCTCCGAAACGGCTAGACCGATTTTGATAAAATTTTATATGTATATTCAGTAGGTCTGGTTTGGTTTGGTTTGGTCACAACCTATTCCTAGGTTGTTATCTATTTTTTATACCCCTAAGTGATAAGAGTGGCCCACCCCAACTTTATTTTTTATTTTTTAGACAATTTTTTTATTTTAATTGTTTTATAGGGAGTGCTTATTTTTTAGCGGGTGCATGTCGAAAATTTTCTTCTGGGTACACACTTTCATCACTTAAGGGACCTCTGTACAAAATTGCATACTCCTAGTCCTAGAACGGATTTTACATAAAAATTATACAAATTTTTACCCTTAGTTTTACCCCCTTAAGGAATGAATTCCAAAAATCGCTCTAATTATTCAATTACGCTACATAATAAACCTCTGTGCAAATCATCATATATAATCATCATCATATTCCTTGAACAGAATTTATTGTTCCAGAACGTTCAACCCTTCATTTCACACCCTTAAAGGGCGAATTTCCAAAAATTGCTTCTTAGTGCTAAATTACGTTACATAAGGAACGTCTGCAAAATTCATACTTCTACAACCGATTTTAACAAATTTTTGTACAAATTTTCATCCCTTATTTTTTAAGGGATGCATGCCTAAAATTCGCTTCTAGGTACTCACTTTCATCATTTAAGGGACCTCTGAACAGAATTTCATACTCCTAGTCCTAGAACGGATTTTACATAAAAAAATTATACAAATTTTCACCCCTAGTTTTACCCCCTTAAGGAATGAATTCCAAAAATCACTCTAATTATTCAATTACGCTACATAAGGAACCTCTGTGCAAATTCTCATATTCCTTGAACAGAATTTCTGTTCCAGAACGTTCAACCCCTCATTTCACACCCTTAGAGGGCGAATTTCCAAAAATTGCTTCTTAATGCTAAATTACGTTACATAAGAACGTCTGCAAATTCATACTTCTAAAACCGATTTTAACCTTTTGTACAAATTTTCATCCCTTATTTCTAAGGGATGAATGTCAAAATTAGCTTCTAGGTACTCACTTTCGTCACTTAAGGAAACTCTGTACAAAATTTCATACTCCTAGAACTAACACTTTTTGTACAAAATTTCACCCCCAGTTTCACTACCCTTAGGCTATACATTTCCAAAATTTCGCTTATCAATGTTCAAATGCGCCACATCTGTGCAAAAGTTCATACTCCTAGTAGGTACAGATTTTTTTTTGTATAATTACATCCCTTTATCTAATTACACCCCCTTATGGGTCGAATTTTAAAAAATTACTTAGTAGTGCTCATCTTAGAGAACGAATTAATATTCTCCGTATTTACTCCAGTTTCCTAATACTAGTACAGATAACACATAATCATACTAGTTAATTTTTTATTGGAATAGAAGTAATTTTTATTAGAAGATACAAAAAAATTAAAAATCTAAAATTTTATTTTCATAGCTACGTTTTTTTTTCATAGCCTTAGGATGCCTCATGTAGGTACTATCGAATATACGAAATATATAATCAATACATATTTCTTTAAATATCGAGAAATAAAATATGTTTGGCAACACCGTACAAAATATCGCCGCGCGTAGTCCTCAAAATTTAAAATATTAGCATTTTCAGGCTTCGATTATGTTCAAAAGCGCCACCGTATGACAAATCACTAAAGCTTCCACACGAGAGTTCTTAAAACTATAATATTCTTTGGTTTTAATCACCGGTTTTGCTAGTGAAACATCATTGGGGCTATTTCGGCTATAACGAAATTTTTTAAAGATACCTAATTATAATTTTAGAAGATGTTCATAAAACATTTAATCACTAGTTGCTTAAAAAAAGTATACCATAATTAATATTGCAAATTATATTTTATCCTCTCATAGTATAATATGTCTATTTAATTTTTTGATTATGTAAGGAGAACTTTGTTTACTCACTTGTTTCGTCGAACTGCTTGAATTCATTTTTCCTTTTGACCAGATCGGTGTGAGAAACTATGAAGCTGTAAAATGTTGTTTCGGGAGAGCTGAATATCCGGGAAAGTTGAGTTATTGAATGTTATTGCACCCAACAACGCCCTAATTGCACTTTCCATTGCGCGTTAAAAATTTTTCGGCAATTTTATTAACAGTAGAAATTGTCACAACACAACACGACGCCTAAAGTACCGTATGATCGAATAAAAACGGCGTCAACGATGGCTATGAAATAAAGATCGCTGTCATTTTATATGTAAAATTGTATGGGAAATGTCATCGATCGTCATTTCCAAGCCAACTGGACGCCGTTTTTTTTTCGATCATACGGTATAATTATTGACAAAGTAAAATTTTAGTATATTTAATTTGAGTTATTAGAGAGACGCTACTGACAGGCCTTCTTTAAAAACTCTCTATTTCTATTTTCTTTGCCGTTAAAATCGTATTAAAATCAATATTACTACGGCCATCTATCCGCACATGACGAAACCCAAAGAAATAGTGTTTTACTGGTTGCATCCACATAAAACTTTTTAATTTTATGATTCGGCAAAATGTATAATTTATTTTAATCTGTAGATTACTGCAAAAAAATTGACAGAAAACAAACTTGAAATTTGAAATGTCAAAAAGAAATAAACGAGGAAACTGTCAAAGCTGGTGCGTTTGTTCGCGTTGATTACTTTCCTAGAAGTTTTTTTTAATTTCGATGGGTTTTTCTTAATTCCAGCGGCTACCAGATAAAAGTAATATAAAATAGCGTAGTGTACATTGAAAGAATATTCAGTTAGAGCAACTGAAAATCCGATTTTCGTCAAGAAACAACCATAATAGGTCAAGAGGAGCGGGGATATGTATCGCTATGTCGTGCTCAGTTTTTTAGCAAAATAAGGATTTTTGTCACAAAGGGGGCTAATTATCGTTCGATATGGTGGTGTCCTAGTATTAACAAGAGCGGGCCTGTTGTGATAAGTGATGGAGTCGATTAGAAAGTGGCTATATAAACCAAAGGTAAGCTGTCCTTAAGTTTTAAAGTTTGCAGTATTTTTGTTTATCTCTGTAGCATTTTCTACACCACAGGCTTCATACAGACGATATAATTCAACATGTTTTCAAATCAGCCAGTTGAATATACCAATTCACTACAGTTACAACATACTGAAATAGGACAATGTTGCAAATCTAGATCAAGATTAAGAAAAGTTTCACTTTCTACCTTCATAACGTTATATACTTGTTGGGTGTGTTTGTTGTTTACGGAATATTAAACTGTTTAAATTTCTTTTATAAAAGAAAAAGCATTTCACTTTTAACAACATCCATATGCAAGGCACACAATCATTGGCCTTCGAAACTGATCATATGATTACAATTATTTGTAATTTCAAGTCCTTCAATCAACATTTTTATAAAACTGTTGTCAAAACTAGGTATTTTATTCTTATGTTTTAAGATTTTTAATAAATATTTCTTTTAATTTATTCTACAACAGTCTTAATTTAACCTTGAGATTTACAAATCAAAACTAAATAGGTATTTTAAGGATCTATATAGTAAAACTCCCTTTCAAGGTAATCAAATAGCATTGAATTTAGTTATGGTATAGTAAAATTTAGTATATACCTGCTGAAAAAAATCCTTCCAAATTATCTTATTATTACAATTTAATTTTAATATAAATTCGTCAAAAATCAAATAAAATGTGTATTACTGACGTCAAGGATTAAAGATAATAAATATTTTCTTATTTTATCAGGAGTGTGTGTGTGTTTTGTTATGCTTAAGTTTGACAGATCATAGCAAAGTAAATGTTTGTATTTTATGATGGCAATAATGGAAAGACTTTTATATTATTAACTTCCTTTTAAGGCATAAATACCTAACATGCTACAATCTTAAGGTTATTCCAACTACCTACTGGTACTGGCGACTTCCTGATCAGTGTTTTCGAATACGTAAACAGCTTACATATGTAGATTGTTTTGTAGTAGTTTTATTATGATTTGAACATCTTGTTTTATTATTATAGAAACATTTAAGGAAATGACGCACTTTGAAATGAAAATATACCTAACTGTGGTTTTCAGTCTGTCACAGAGCAACAGTCCTTGAAGCCATGACTCACTAACAATTACGTTTAAGAAATTTTTTATGGTTGAGCTACATAGCTTCCTTTTCTAATCTCTGTGAATTATGTGATAATTTTATAAAGGCTAATAACTAAAATTGAGTAATGTGTTGATAATTTAACACCCAAAGGTCTCGTTTTATTGTTTTTGTTCAGGTCTACTTGAGATTGTATGAAACATGGATAATTTTAATGAATGTACTTAAAGAAACAATATTGTTTACTTGTTTGCTCGTGCTATTAAGTTGATCCAAGAATTTAGTAAATTTAATACACTGGTTAATTAAGTTGGTATTGAATTTCTATGTTTTTCTTAATATAGGTACACTTTCAATATTCATCTAGAGAAAGTTGTAGGAGTATTTTAATTGAAGAGAAATTGCGATTATAATTATTAAGCACAGAGTGAATGAATTTTTATATCTAAAAATACAGATTTGTCACCTGTCCAATAATTGTCAGCATAGTTTGGATTACAATTTCTTTGTAAACATTTTTCTATTTACAAAGTAACAAGTGGTACAAAAACATTTATAATTTTAGCTATCTCTTGTTTATTTCGCCTATAGCCAAAAATAATAACTAGTCTATTATTATATTAGCTCCTTGTGTATGCAAAATTTAAATTTAATCTTATAGGTATTGCTACTTATACCGATAGAAGCGATATTGCGGCATATTTTAAGAATTTTGAGCATTTTGTTGAATAATAATCTTGTTGGATTTTATTAATGGGGATATATTACTTTAAAAACTACTTTCTTAAGCTTTGCTTATTGAAAAATGAAAAAGGTGATGTAAAATGTTCCCTACAAAGGTACTTGTTTATACATAGTGAACCAACATTACAATACCGGGTGCGTCTCAAAAGTAGCTCACTTCTACTTATAACATTTTTATTTTTTCAGTTAAAAAAACGCGATTTGGTATGTTAGATTTTTAAATGGCACCCTCCGTATTTTTTACTTTATTTGATAGAAAATTACCTGAATCGAATGACATATCATATGTCAATTTTTGACATATTCACTCAAAAACAAATTGTATTTTAATCTAGAGTGCCATGGCTGTGTTAAAAACACTAATTTTTAATCAAAGAGCCTTGGAAAAGTAGATTTGATCGTCTAATGTTTGTAGTGTCTTGTCCTAGCCTGTTAAAAGATATACCATATCGTATTTTTAATCATATCTCAATTTTTTCAAATGGAACGAGGATGGCTCATTAGCATATTTGAAAAAAGCATTTTTTTACGAATAATTTGATACCACACACTTGGTATTTCAAGTCAAATTGTCGTTATGAACCGCATGTTATAATTTCAAGTAAACCATATGTTACTTCGTTCGAAACTTTCGTAAACCATATGCGAAAATGTGAAAAGTTGACATATGATATGTCATTCTATTCAGGGTGTCATTTTCTATCGAATAAAGTAGAAAAATATCGATGGTGCCATTTAAAAATTAAAAGTTGTAGTAATTTCCAGTGAAACCGGAAGTGACCGAAAATAATTGAATATGTCAATCAATCCTAATTTATGTCATATACTAACATACCAAATCTCGCTTTTTTATCTGAAAAATTAAAAAAGTTATAGAGGTGAGCCACTTTCGAGACGGACCCGGTATACAGGGTGGTCCGAACTGTATTCCGGAAACGTCGGCAGCATATTCTGCAGATAAAAATAAGAAAAAAAGTTTGTATAAATGTATGTCCTAAAATGCTTAGTTTCGGAGATACAGGGTGTAGAAGTTTCATTTTTATTTCAATTTTTTTCCAATAATTTCTGAAGTAATGTCAATATTTGGATGAAAATTGGTACATACAATTTTTTGACATGACATACTTGATTCTGATGTTAATATGACTCCTTGTAGAGGGCGCTACCTACATATTTTTTAACTGGTCTGAAGAGTAATAACTTTTCGTCCGTACCTGTATAAAACTAGTGATGATTTCAGTGATTTCAGAAATTTTTGATTGTTGCAGGAAATTTTCGAAACTTTCGGAAATTTATGAAATTTTAGGAAATTTTACAATTTTACATATTTTTTGTTGATACAATAAAGGAATAAATTGGATAGACATTTGATACCAACATGTAAGTGAAAAAAAAAACAATAAACATAATATTAGTTGTTATATTTTTAATAAACAATACATAACTCATAAAAGTCATAAACATAACACATAACAAAAATCATTTATTTGGTAACATTTGTATTTTGTACATAAACCATGAGCTATGACTATGAACTTAAAAAAAAAAAAAAAAGCACGAAATATAAATTTAAAAAACGTAAAACACAAATAACTGATTATTTAATTCCGAAATACTTTCAGGCGCCGAGCTGGTCCCATCTTCATAGGGTATTATAGTAGTAGTAGTACTGTTTTCGTCAGTTTCTCTTTCCAAATCAGATATATTTGATGTATCATCTGGTTCTGATGCTGAAGGATGGACCTCTACCTCTACGTGTTCTAGTGGTTCTGGAGGAGTTTCATGTTGTTGAATATCATGCTCCATATCCACTTTTTATTTTTGTTGTAATAATTTATTGTTATGAGCTACGAACATTATTTTGCCGGCTCTTTGTGCAGTTAAGCGATTCCTTTTTTAGTATGGATAAAGGTTGTCGCCCAGTAGACCGCGGCGCGGCGCCATGTGGAAATTTCTTTTGTCTGCTTGCCATGTATTTAAATGGACCAACGCACATTAGAGCGCGCAGCGCAGAAGCGCGCCGCGGGATTCATAGTTCTATCGTCAAGAAGTCGGAAGACTTCTCTAGCAACTTTTTTCCGTCTCCCGCGTTTCGGCGCGTTGCAGTGTGCGTACTCACAAGGGAAATAATTTTGCATTCGAGTCTTTTCAGTTGGCTTTTTGACTAGGAACTAGTGATATGTATTAATGGCAGAATTGTATTTTTAAAGGTAAATTAGGCAAATCGATTTTCATAAAGGAATATGATATTTTTTTTAGTCTTCCCTCACTAGAGACAGATGGACGAAATGCCTTTCTATCAAAGATTTAATATAATTGAGGGGTGTAGAGGCAAAACTGGCAATCTCCACTTTTTAACAAAAGTGACAATCTCCAATTTTTAAATTCTAATTACCTAAATATATAAAAAAGATCAGGGTTTTTTTGACCACATAACTAATATACACATCAGAATAAATAAGAATTATCAAAAATATTAGTAATTTGTCTCTTCTGAAAAAATATGATGAGTAGATATACCCGGTGTTTTTTCTTCTAAAACCCTCAATTGAGGAGTGCGTAAAATGTTTCCTTTATATTTTGTAATACTGAAAAAAATGATTTTGTCTTTTATTAAATCTGGAAAAAGATGGTAAAATTCTCCAAACTTCTTTCTTTTTTTGTTAATCGTATGAGTCCAAACTTTTCCTCACCCCCTCTTCCTCTTCCTCTGTTAGAAGAGCACAAAAAATACGCTTTCGTCCGTACTTGAACTCATTGCTTTAAAAACTAAACTACAGTAAGTAAAAAACACTTCGACTATAACTAAATAGCGTTGCCGCGTTTCAAAAGCGCGCTATAGTGGGCGCAGTCCCTTCGCAGCCGGAAAAAAATCTCTTCCCAGCGCCGCGCCGCGCCGCGTTCTAGTGGGCGACAACCTTAAAACTGTAAGTACTGAAACTTCTCTCAGACGTTGCGTTGGTAAAGACAGCAGAGCAACAGCTAAATATGTTAACTGAGTATTTTTACACATTGCTTGCCACCAACTTAGACAGTCTACATTTTTAACTGACATCCAAACGTAGTCGGGAGCCCATAAACCCGATTTGGCGCAATAATTTGTTACATCTGTAAAAATGGCTTCTTTATTATTGACAAACTGAGGATGTTTGTTGGTGATATTGTTGATAAATTCCATAGCGGCTATGTGTTCTTCATTGTTAAGGTGCTCTCCCAGGAAACAGGGGTCCAAGAGATTCGCGGCAAAATGCATTGGTTTAAGAGCCATACGTTTTTTATTTTGTAAGGCGGAGAAGCATTCTTTTTCTTCTGATTTAAGAATAGGCATACTTGATACACTTTCGTTAAATTTTTACTCAGTGTCTTGAATTTTGAAAAGAAATTTCTTGCAAAATTCGGATTTTTGCGAATATTCGCGATTTTGGGACCGAATATTTCGGAAATTTCCTGCAAAATTCGAATGGAAATATTCGCTACCAACATCACTATATAAAACTACTGAGTTAAAAAAATATATATTTAAAATATATATTTCTCTTGGTAACAATCGCTACCAGCAACTGTTCTCGAGATATTTAGAATGAAAATAGTTAATACATGTCATTATTGCCAAAAAATAAACATGTTGAGTAGATAGTTATTTGACTGAAATGCGAGCTGAAATGACACATTTGGGAACTTTTTATTTTTATGAATTAATCATAAATTTGTCTTTAAAAAATAATGATTAAATAGTTTCTGTTGAACATTTGGCGCAATAACATTTCAAATAGGACAGGATTTTTTTCAGAACGTTCACCCCTAATTTCAGCCCCTTAGAGAGCGAATTCTAAAATTGCTTCTTAGTGCTAAATTATGTTACATAATGAACGTCTGCGCAGAATTTCATACTTCTAAAACCGATTTTAACAAGTTTTTGTACACATTTTCTTCCCTTATTTCACTTAGGGGAATGAATATTCAAAATTCGCAAGTACTCACTTTTTGGTGGTACAGGAACCCCTGTACAGGGTGGGTCAAATTCGACGCTTTTAAATGGAAACACCCTTTTCTATTGGAGATAGACAAAAACTAATATCGGTGTCTGGAGCTCAATTTTTGTCAAAAACATGATGGTGAAAACCGTATATCGATATCTGTTACAGTTTCGGAGTTACGGGGTGTTTTTAAAAAATATGCATTTTTAACAAATCGCTGTAACTTTCTTGCTATGGAAAATTTTGTATTTTTATGAAAACATTTCCAAAGCACCTTTTTACGTAGAATTCAATGGTTTAAGTATAATTTTTTTTTAATTAATAATTTAAGAATTATCATCAGGAAATTTGATTTTTTATATGGGACACCCTGTATATTTTTAATTTATTGAAAGGAATTTAAAATTACCTTTCCAAAAATTTAACACACTTCATATTTTGCTCGATTCCTCTTCGAGATATAGAGTATATAAAAATTCGCCCGCTTTAAATAAGTAGGCTTTGAACGGCACCGGCTGTAATGCAAAAAAATTATAGCTGTGAGCATCAATTAAAACAAAAATAATATTTGCTATGAGAGATGCAGAATTTTATAACAATTTAAAATATATTTAACCAACATCAACACATTTAAACTATATCTAATAACAATAAAAATCAATAGCAAACCAATAAGACATGAGATTTTGCTACAGGTGTTCGACATATCGACCGTCTTCTGTTATGGACAGACGGGGCAGTTTTTGAACATTTCTTGCGGAATTCATTAACTCAGGGGGGGTGAAAGATACCCTGTCATAACTGCTAAGTATTTCTAATTCTTGTCTAAATTATACGGAAGAATAAGGAACCTTTATTCTTCCGCAAATATATCCAAAGGATTAGATCCATGGGTACTAAACTAAGTCAGGCGGCCTCGACGGCCAACGGCTGGGATCTTGGTTAGCTATTTAATTATTCTTAAAATTGGCTGCAAAAATTTGCAGATAACTTCAACGTTCAGAGGCGGTGCGTCGTCATGCTGGAAAAAATATGCTTTCGAGTTCCATTAAGGGCATATCATCAATAAGGGGTCCAAAGCCTACTAGTTAAAAGTGGCGAACTTTTAAAAATTCTGTATTTCGAAGGGGATTATAACAAAATATCAAGTGTGCTATATTTTTGGAAAGGTAATTTTAAATTCTTTTCAGTTAATTCAAAATATGGAGGGTGTCCCAAATAAAAAATCAATTTTTCTGTTGATTACTCTTAAATTATTAATTTAAAAAAAATTATACTTAAACCATTAAATTCTACGTAAAAAGGTGCTTTGGAAATGTTTTCATAGAAATACAAAATTTTCCATAGCAAAAAAGTTACAGCTATTTGTTAAAAATGCACGTTTTTGAAAACCACCCCGTAACTCCGAAACGGTAACAGATATTAATGTACGGTTTTCACCATCATGTTTTTGATGAAAATTGAGCTCCAGACACCGATATTAGTTTTCGTCTATCTCCTATAGAAAAGGGTGTTTCCATTTAAAAGCGTCGAATTTGACCCACCCTGTACAAAATTTCACACGCCTAAGACTAATTTAAAAAAAATATACAAAATGTCCTCGAAAATGTCACCTCCTTAGGAGAAGAATTTCCAAAAATCGCTGTTCAATTACTAGGACATATTTTAATTTTTTTGTATACAAAATTCACCTCTCATATCACCCCCTTAATGAGCGAATTTTCAAAATTCCCCACTACTGCTCAATTGCGCCAAGGAGGATAAATAAATAATTTCATTATTTTATGATAATATGAACAGAAGGGCATAGTCTAGTGTTGCCTTCCATCGCTGTCGGCATCATAAACTAGTTGCTATATCTGAAAGATCGATAGTCAAATCGCAGTCTAATTTAAAGAGAGTAAAAAGTAACGGTTAATAAAACATCTCGGACAGATTTACTGGGAAATTATCGAAACAGAATAACCCTAATCTAAAAATTAACATTAACGCTAAAATCACGGCCACTGATTAATTTCGCGGCGAATAGGTCACGGTCACAGGTACCTACCTGTTAATGCAAAGTCACGTTTTAACTAGTGATGGGATAACTCGAGCGAAAATTCGCTCGAGTACTCGATTATTGAAATAACCGACATCGCCCGATTATGAACGAGCGATGAACGCAAGCAGTCCTATCGAACGAATTTGCTACAAACATTGCAAATTGGCAATATTTTATCAGTATTTTTGGTAAAATATCTTCAAACAACAGATTGTTCTTTTGATTGGGACCGCGTTGTTAATAATTATAGGACTATACGACTGTTACATAACTGTGTGACAAAATTTTACCACCTACATCGACAAAGCTTTGATCCATGATTAAGCGAAACTACTCGTCGCTCGTCACTTGTCGCTTGCCACTACCATCGAAAGGATAATATGCGCTCTGCGCACGCAGCTTACTGTTTGGCGTTACGACTACAAGCGACAGCGAAAAATCGTATATTTATATACGAGCGGAATTTCGCTCGAGCGATCGCTCGGTTATTGAAATCGCTTGAAACTCGAGTACTCGATTATTAAAATTCATTCTCTCTATTTCATACTTGTGCCCTCTCCCCATCTGAGTCAACTGGAATTCTTTTCTGATTTGTGTTTAACGGATAATTGTACTGGTTGTCTTAAATAAAACCACTGACGTAAATTCCACATCCAGAAGAACCGTTTATGCCCGGTGCCTTGTCGTCCTTCAATCTTTCCCTAGGCGATCAGCTGTAGGAAGCTATACTTAGTTATTTCTAAAAATATGACCAAAATAAGCTGCTTTCCGTCTTTTTATTGTTGTTAATAGTTCTTGTTATTCCATATTCCACTACTTTTATACTGGTGTAGGTTAATAATTATTATCGATTGTTTGTACCAGGTTTTTACAAAGTTAATATTAAATTAACACTTTTTAAATGTTAGTGATATTTAATTTTCAGAAAGATGACAAATCACTTCTGGCCCAATTCTTCTACGCCGACGAGGACCTCAACACTGTCGCCAACGAGCTGGACAGTTTCGACGGCCGAAAAGATCCGGAACGGTGTACGTGGCTGGTCAATCAGCTGCGCCAAGCTCAGGACAAGGTGCTGACCATCACCAACGCCATCATGGACGTGCTGATCGGGGACGAGCGCGCCAACCGGGACTTTCGGGTGAAGTTTCCCGAGGACGTGCTGCAGGAGAATTTGGCGGGTCAGCTGTGGTTCGGCGCGGAGGTGAGTAACACTTGCGAAACTTTTATATCGACCTGGGGTGCAACTTTGTTGCAAGACAGAGAATAATTTAAATAACCGGTTGACAGACAGAGACAAAATAAAAAGCGGCATACAGTGTTGCCGGTTTTTACGTTCGCAGGCAGGGTTGGGTAGGTAGAAAATTTTGAATATTCTACCGTATTTTCTACTAGTAGAAAATTAATTTTGTACACTAACTAATTTTCTACATTCTCTACATGCCCAGACGTAGAAAATTACTTTTCTATGTTATAAGATAAGCCGTTTTTAAGTTTATATTTATTTTAAGTAATTTACGAGGTAATTTAATACAATAATTAGTAGACGAAATGAAACTAGATTTCTTTGACAACATTAAAAAAATGGGCAATTAAAACTTATACTATAAAAATCAGACTTTTTCTAGTCTTCGTGACGCTAGCTCGTATGTCGCGGCTAGGGTTTCCGGAACCGGAGCCGTTTGTCGGAATCGGGAATTATGGGTACCACGCCTCTAAGGAACCGGTATTTCCCGGTATTTTCGGTACTGGCTAATTTTTTGTTCAATGATGCCACATTTCGTCAATCAGCAAGCAAGGGATTGTTTTCAAAAATAAATAGTTAGAAATAGGTGTTTTTTAATGAAAATAATTATTATTAAGTAATCAGTCAGAAAAATGCAAATTCCTATAAAAACAACATAAAATATAACTAATATATTGAGCAACATTATACTTATAATAATAAAATGACATATCTAAACTTCAATAATTGTTAATAAACATTATAGGAACTTCAAAAGAACTTCAGAAGTAAGAACAATAAGAGATAATATCACTATAGTAACCGCCACGAATGTTTGGGAGTGATTCATCGGTCACTACCATGTGAACTAATCTGTTCAAGGTCACATTAAACTTAATTCCAGTGCCGTGGTGTTTAAAGTCATATAATAATCAATATATAATCTGTTGTAATTTGTTGTTTTAACTGTCAAAGTCTTGTCAAAACATATATTTGGTTATAAATATAAAATGGAATGCCCCATTGGTCGCACTGCAAGCACACCAATGGACTGAAGCACAAAAACGAATCAATCAAAGAAACGCGATATAGTATCGTCGTAGAATAAGTAGGAGGAGCGCAGGCAGATGATTAGACCGGGCCTTTAAAACCTACGTCTGCGGTAAAAATTTACGTTTTTAATGTAAAAATGATAGCGCGCGTGTCGATTCTAACTTCATCAAGCGATGAATCACTCCCAAACATTCGTGGCGTTTACTATATTTAGAAGAGTTTGATTTCGACCGCCAGAAAGTATCAATGAACTTTCGCATGTAACAAAAAATAATTTTTTAATTACTGTTAACGAGTAAAAAAAAATCGGTACCGAAAGAATCTGGAATCTTTATTTCGAGTCCTGGTTCTTTGATGTCTCAAAAGAACCGGGAATACCCGGTACTTTCGGTACCGGGATTTCCCGGTTCTGTACCCTAGTCGCGGCTTTGAATTTTTACTCCCATCTCGCGTATTGAAGTTATACTTCAGAAATTTAATCATCCAGTTGTGACAAAAATCCTTTATAATTTTATACCTATTAATGATTGCTAATTTTAAGGCAGTTTGATGTATCTTTTCTGAGGCGCAGTTTTCTGCGTGTTAGTATGAGTTGCATATTTACTGCTCGAATAATAAAGACAAAGTGGCTTCATGAACCTCATTAAACCACTTTATTTTTTGAAAGATATAGGTACGATGAATATACTTGTATACCGTGCTGGCAACTCTTACTTTTGGGTCGGTATTTACATGTGTGGAAGTAAATCGCATAGAGATCTTATTAAGTCGGGGTAAGAGAAATGCGACGGTGTGCTGTTGCGGCGTTGCCACATACCTCCGGTACGCCTTTCTCTATCAAGTAAAGTAAAGTCACGATCGCAAACCGCTTATTTTTAAAACACTTTTATCTTCGAAAAGATAACTAGTATAAATCATTAGATATGTTTCTGAGCATATGAAATGGAATTATAAGGATATCGTTAGGGTGTCCATTTTTTACAACGAGAAAACGTCAGTAATCGCGATAATTTAAAAACTCAACTTTTTAACACATAACGCGATAACTCAAGAACCACATTAGATATTAAAACTTCTTTAATTTTATTTTTGGTTTGGATCTTTTATAAGATGTTTATATAAGAAAAATTCGATAGGCTTGTTTTTTTTATTCAAAATTAAAAAAAATACATCCATTTACTTTTACTGCATTGCAATTTTCAACAATCGTGTAACTTTTTTATTTATAAAGATTTTCACATACTGTCTGCGAAGAAAATAAAGCAGAAATATTAAGAAAGTTTTTGAAAAAAACTACAATCAATTATTCCTAATGGATTTCGAGATATCGATTTTTGAATTCAGAGTTCTAATAGCGCGACCGCTGTCGAACACCAACTCAGTTTCACTTATTTCTACCAAAAGTGCAAGTGTTTCTAACTTGCCCTTAAAAATTTACAAGCTATAGGGAAAGTTACAACGACTCGTTAATAAATAAACAAATAAAGTATCACGAGACGTAATTAAATCGTGAAGCTGAACGCATAATGTATCTACACTCTTTTTATGTGTGAATTTTAAGTACTGATATGGTACTGATTGGATCGACCGGTCGACCGCGACGAATCTGCTATATACGTCCACGTTATTTCATACGTTTGGCAACGTTTTTATTGTTCTCTCTTTGTTCAGTACATTATAAACAAATTGTACTCTTCTTACATACGGAAATCCCGACCCAAAACTAACCTTTGCCAGGGTATAAATTTGGTATAAACTACTTCTGCTTTACCTGTGATGGACGTGTCTATTGGATCTAGTTTATTAATTGGCACGCGCGATCATTTCTTTTTTTTATTGAACTTGTTAAGAATAATGCAATGTCATTTATTTGATATACATCATACAGAATTGATTTAAAAATTAGCTTTCTAATCTTAATTTGCTGTTTTTCCAATCGTTGCGTTCAGTTTTGATTTGAATGTGTTGACTAAAAATCTATTTATTTATTTTAGTTACTATTTTTATTTAAAATTGTGGAGAAATTTAAATAAAATTATAATATTCTCATTTTAGTAAAATATATAACCAAACGAAATTTATGTTTTCATACTATTTATTAAAAAATAACAGTGTAATGGCACAAAAACCTTGAAGTTTCTGAATCGATGGATGAGTTATTAACCCAAAAACCTATTTCTTCATATTACTTTATTATATTCAATAAAATATCTTTTTGATCTATTGTGTCTATCTTTGCTTATATCCTTATTTGATATTTAGTAATATAGTAATTGAAGGATTTACCATTAAAATATACTGTAAGAAAAAGAATCAAATGAACTGTTCATGTTTTTATTTGTCTCTCAATATTGGAAAGTCTCAGTTAAAATATCAGGGATTGTCCATCCTGTACGTGCTACATGTTAGTAGTTAAACAAAACTTTATTGAAGGAACTATTCCAACACTGTATGACGAAGTCGTTTCTTTTCTAGAACTGCAGTATAACGAACATTTTGTATTATTATTTTGGACAAAAATATTTTCAGGGTCTAAACATTTAAGTATAGGCTTTGTATTGAACATGTATATTTAAAACACCCTCATTAAACCCGACTAAATTAGACGCAAGGACACACACATTTTTAGTCAAATATAACGCAAGAATATTTTTCTGTATTGAAGAAGAAAGTTTAAGGCTTGTTTATTTGTTTTAATTATAATAAAGAAGCGAGTAAGGAATTATAGCAAAATTAACTAAAGGAACAATAAATACTTACATAAATAGGTAAGATTTTATATTTATGAACATTTTAAAAGAAGTATCTACAGTAAATTAATACTATTTTTTTTTTCATTTAGTAATTTTATATTTAATGAGATTTGTTCTGAAAAACCAAATGGTTTAAAACGTTTAACTGGACTTTGCATTAGATGTGTTTTTAAAAAGCAGCCTGAAATAACTTATGTAGACTTTTTTTTCTGAGAAGAAGAGGCCAAAGTTTTTGATTATTAAATTAATTTAGCAGAAATTTGTCGTCGAAAAAGCTCGAGTAATTGACTTATTTCAACTGAGCTGCGGCGCCATATTAAAATAATTTAAGGCTTCTTAATAACGTTACCTCAGAAGTAGAAAAGATATTATTTCTATAATTTTTAGGGTTTCGTACTTTTAATTTGATTTATATGCGTTTTATATCCATGATGATTTTCTCCTACTATCTTGCTTTATTTTAAAAAAATACACCATATGGGGAAAAGTTACTTAAGAACAACTGTACTCTAATAATAAATACTGCTATCTAATAATAAATAATGAGCTTTTTGACAGATACGCCTACTAAGTCCTGAACTTGTGGAATTTTTTATACAAATTTAAAATATGTATACAGGGTTGCTAAACGATTAGATTTTTACAAATTGTAAGTTTTGGGTTCGTTGAAGGACTATTAGAGCTACAATTTAAAAATAATTTTACAAGATACAGAGTGTCCCAAATAAGTAAAAAATATTATAGTTGTATTTTTTTAAATAGAACACCCTGTATATTATTCTATTTTTGGATTCTACGATTGAAATAAAGGTAAATTTGATTAAGGTTTATTACACTTAAACCTTACCGTTTTTGAAATATTTTCAATTTTATGAAATTGCAGTAAAAAAATTAAGGCTTTTTTTCTCCAAGGGTATCAAAGTTTTTAATACTAAATATTTACTGAAGGTTATTTATTGATCAGATATTGTGTTGCAATAAAAAAAATACTACCTTATACAGAGTGTCCAAAAATTTATATTAAATAATTACTAGCTTTAAACGGCAATAACTTGTTTTTTTTTTAAATTTAAATGGAACACCCTATATATTTTACGTGAATCAGATACACAATGTAATTGTCTATCAAATTGTATTGTTTCATTTTTTGCCCATCTCTTCAAGTTTTCATAG